CTACTTACTTTTGTTTTTTTTTTTTATTCCACGCGGACGGAGTCGCGGGCGACAGCTAGTGTAAAATAAAAATAACAAAAGTATATCGTACCTCCAACGTAGGAGTTGCCTAATAGGTTTTATTAACTCAGTCGACGTTCTTTTATAAAAGAAAGAACAGGATGCGGTGTCTAGCGGAAGAATGGTTGATTATGTAATTACCTTATTTAAAAAGTGGTCCTTGTTCATTGATACGTGTTTTAAACACGTTTACGCGCCATTCTTTTATATTTTAATTTTTACTAATTGTTATTAGAACATGTCATCTTTCTGCCTTTAAAAAAAAATCACGCCTATTATAATTGACTTTCTATGGTCAATCGACCACAGTTGCTGTTGTTTGTTCAGTTTTGCTGTTGGATTCTATTCTATCCCTAATCATACTTAATCAATGCGAAAGTTTAGATGAATGGATAGATGTACGGATAAATGGATGTTTAGTTAGTTTATAGCCTAAAAGGCAGAACAGATCTCTGTATAGTATATATGCTACTGACTGTTGTTTTTTATTAATTCCACACCGACGAAGTCACGGGCATAAGCTGACAATATCTATACAGACACAATGTCTTTTCTTTTGTCAAAAGAACAGATGTATGTAGGAACAGTAGGAGTACCTGGTTAATCCATCCTGATTGTTGACTCAGATATGAACTTGATTTCACAAAGTGCCAGATGTGAGATCACGTTTATTCTAAAACATGACAATGTGTCGCAATAATACCTTTTTACGGCAATTCGAGCAAACCTACCCGACGGTTTGAGGATGAATAATATAATTTGTGTCTGGAATTAAGCGAGCCACTCGTACATTCCTTTCTAGCAAGCCAGTTGCTACAAGGTCGAATTGATTATGATATATTATTCAGCTTGTAAAAATACAGCAATTGGACTAGAATTGAGGAATGTTGTACTGTTTCGTAATTGAATGTTTTATATAAAGCCAACCAAGCTCGTACAATATTTTTGTGTAGATAAGAACACATTTATAATCGACCATTAGAGAAAAAGAGAATATGACAATAAGCTCTAAGACGACAAATGAAATTGATTGATAAATCAAATATTTGCCATTACTAAGTTACTAAAAAAACAAATGAACTATCCGGTAAACTGTAAGAAAATAGACTCCCCCACCTTTCCATTCTGAGTTATCGGTTCGTTAGTAGAAAAGCATCGAACGTAGCAGACCCCAGCAATTTAATGTTATTTCTCTCGAATGCAAGAATTAGCACATTGAGAAAACATTTTGGAGCGATGCCCTCCTACTTGTTTTGAAGTATTGGCTGTTTACGTCGTAAACTCAAATCGAGATATACAAAAAATAGATACAGATAGAAATAAAAGACAGGTGAAATTATCTTTAAAGAAGATACAAAATGTGTTAAAGATGTCATTGAGTAGGCAGTGAAATGATATAACGGCTGCATCAACTTGTGAACATATTCAAAGCCTTTCGAATGTCTGAAGTATGAATCTATAATTTTTACGTTAATGTGTGTTATTCGAACTAATTGACGCAACAGCATCGCCGCTACGTAGATTATAATGAATGAAATTAGATCTAGACTGAACAAGTATATTTACAATAGCTATATGAACATGAAATTCGATACTAGCAATAATTATACTAGGGATGTGTGGTGCACATAGTTTTGTAAATAATATTCCAATATCTAATCTCATATCATGAAATGTTTTTTGTAGGATTCATCATATATATTAGGAGATTTTTGTTCATTTACTAATATTTCCTTTAACCATTCCAAATAAGCTCTAGGCTTGTGCTATGAAATGTTTCACGACAATAGTCGAATGGTGGTATTCGAACCATAGACTGTAAGATCGGTAGTCCATACCCCAAACCATTAAGCTATTGACGCTTAAATCAATATTATATGTAGACATCTCAGATACCTAAGTGCAAACTGAATGCTCCTATTCACTATTTTGCAACAAACTTAGCAATTATTTAGTGCGTACGAATCAATATGAAATTCATTTTCACACATTAAAATTTTGATGATCGAGTCCATCCAAATCGTATCTCAGTCAATACTCTGGACATAAGTAACATTGACCCCGACTTCATTTTAATTAATTACATATTCATGACATTTGTACAACTTCTCTCAATTGACCAGATATCGCTCCGTCATAATTAAATGGGTATATAACAGCCTTGAACAATGATACATTACTTCCTCATGACATGAGACAAAAGAAATTGATCTCGTTTTATTGGAAGATGTACGTACTTCAGTATTATTAAATTCAAAGTCAAGTGTATTTGAAGCTGTGGTGAGTGCGGTCAATTTATAAGGCGATGACAACCTAACGACGTCCATGACAATGTTATTTTGGTTGGAAGATCGACACTTCTCGTTATTAACACATTTAAGGGTCTTTCACGGTAGGAGATATCATTCTGCGTCAAATACTGTTATTACCAAACATTATAATACCATCAAGTTACATAAAATTATCTTCGATTTAAACAGAATTTTAATTTTTTTAAAGCAAATAAAGAGAGTACAGAAATGACGTTATCTTGTCAATGATTATTGCATGAAGATTGTCTTACTGTATTGTCTTAGTACTTGTAATAAATAAAACGTCTATACCTAGAAACTTGGTCTAGTTACTAGACTAGTACTAAACGTTTTTAGTCTCTAGTCCCTTAGTGTGTTACATTAATTGGACATCTTAGAGTCTATAAAAATCCACCAAAAAGTACCATATACAAATAGGTCAAATTCGTAAAGCGTGTTAAAAGCGAGCAGTTTTCGTTTGTAACATAAAATATAACTGGCAGTATTAATTAAGAGAACATAGCGGCACTTGTTTTGTGCATTCAATTAAACCGATCCGTGACGAGCGCGCGGCTATTCTCGTTTTATTTAGATGGACACTGATTAACCTGCAGTTGCAACAAAATGACAAGTTTAATCCAATTCACTTTTAAATATTAAATTTTGGGGCTATAAATATTTCAGTGTGCAGAATAGAAATGTCTATTTCGAGCAAGCGATAGGAAAAAGAAATTTAATTAAGAGATTCTTGTCTAAGTTGTTAATAATTCTCGATTACTGTAAAGGATGCTTTGACTAGTACTTTTTTACGTACACCGTTTATGGCAATATGTACTTGAGTTTACTATATGAGCCATTGTTGGTTTGTTTTTTTTATTATTATTAACTACTTTCTTTATTTCCTGGTGCTGTAGTTCTTGCAGCAACCTTTGCATCGTTCGTGGTGTTAACTAAAATTGTGCAGTTGTTGGAAATGTGTAGACGCGGACTCTTACCAACATACTGATTGAAATAAATCAGATGGCTTATCACGAATATTCGTGAAAACGTTCTGGTGACGATATCGACGACATTTGTTTTATATTTGTGCAGCGTCATAAAGTGCACCTACAAATCTCATAAAAACTTTGCCGATGTTAGGAATACGTTCTCCCAACTATCATGCTAGTATTCGTGATAGAACCGACTTATTTAAATCCAAAGTATCTCACGTATTCAATTATTTTCCTGTATTTTTAATAACAAAACAAGGAGTTAAGACATGATCTTTCTAAATCCTCAATCTGAGCTTCAGATTTCCCCCTAATTGCTTGTCGCTCTAAATACTGTTGGGCGTGTTCGCCCTGTTCCATAGAACCCTTTCTATTAATCTGTTGCCACCATGACACCAATATGGCGGACATCATTTTAGGAATTGGTAACATCACGTTGCGTTTAACGAGCTCAACTAGATGGTGACCGAACGCATCAAATTGCCGTTTGGTAGACGCGCTTTGTATTGTGTTATACGCGTTTTAATGGACGACGTTCGCGGTTAGGAATATTTTGTAGTGTTTATGCTTTATGTTATGAACTCATAAAATTAACTATTTTTGTAACAAAAGGGATCTAGTAAATTATGTGCTATTAATCCACCTAAGATATTGTCACTAAAAGATGCTGTAAATATTATACTTAAAAATATACTCCGATAATAGTCGTTTTTTACTAAAATTTTAAATGCAACAGTTTAGATGTACGTTTGGATGAAATTTGGCATAGACGTTGAACATAGTCAGAAACAACACATGAGCTACTAACTTTTTTTATAAATCCGCACGAATGGAGTCGCAGGCCAGAGCAAGTTTTATGTAATTATTCGAGTATAGTACATCTGTCTTTTTCTTCTATAGCTAAGAAAATCTAGAAATCACTATATTTCACTTCTTTAAAATGATACCTTATAAATATCCGATCGATTTCCAATCACTACTAAGGCGAAGAAAGTACAACAGCCAACAGCTAGTTTAATATAGGTGCATTTAACTTTTTAAAACCTTAATATCGATTAAAGTACGATCCTGACACTCGATGTATTCGACTTACGTAACAAAACATCGGTTTAAACATACAATAACTGACGTAGGCCTTTAGGGAAATACGAGACATTTGGTTCGCGCGTTATTTCCTGTCATACCTACCACAGATAATTATCAGTATAAATGACAATGACATTCAAATATGAATGACAATACTACGTTTAAAATAGAATACATTTTTTAAACATTCGCTATGTTTTGGGCTTATCTAAAATATTTGGCAAATAAACTAGGGGCGCAGTGACTCCGGTGACTATGGCCGACACTTTTCGACATATTTCATGTAGCATATAAGTGAGTCGTGTGACGATTTGTGTAAATTTATTTTCTAGGGTTGCCAAAAGTTTACGTTCATTATAAATACATACATATCTCCAAGTATTCTAAGTAGACATATATCACCGGATTTGAAAGGATCCGTAATTTTATACTTTTTTATCGAAAAGTTTACAAAGACGATATATTTACTAAGTGCGCTATTTTGATTAATTCTTATCACGCATTATAAAGTTTAACATTCTTAATTGTAAAAATTTTTTTATGTTTCATTCTAAAAAGTCAGCCTTTACAATTATTATGATTTATTACACTTGACATTGTACAAAGTACTCAAAAGTAAATATACTCTTCGTAAAATAACTAAAACCCATTAAACCACACACTTTCATGGCCAATGTTTTATGTTTCTTTTAACTTCGTCATACAAGTAATCATTGTTTAACTAAGAATAATATATTCCACATGCATTAGTTTAAATTATTGAGGACATGCAATCATAAATCTAAAATAGAAAAATTATGATAAAACTTTCAAATATATCTGTATATATAAATTAATCATGATTATAAAAAGTAAACAGAAACAATGTAAAAATAAAAATTAAATCTTCAGATGATTCTAAATAAAAAACTGTAGGAAAAAATCATGAACAAACTTACCCCTAAAACTGGATAAAAGCAAAACAACAGACAAACTCAGATACATCTTTACAACAATTAATTTAAACAAAAACTATATCGAAGTATTGAAACTTTAATACGGTATTACGCACTACGCATGGCTACTGTTGGCGGTTACTTTGACGACTGACGATGTAACAGCGCTCACAAACGGGACGTATAAGAGCATAAACATCACGATTATTTTTAGAGCCTGTAACAATGCAGCCGATAGTCAAACTGGAATGTCGTTACGTCCCCATTAAAACGGATCGAAAGTAGATACAGTTTTTTATGTGCTCAATATAGAAGAACAATGAACTATGATATACACTTTTAAATTACATAAATTTCACCTTTTGAAATATAAAAATTGTATTGAATAAGTCTTCAAATTAACAAATCGTTAGTGTCGTTTAATATGTTTGTGAAAGAAAACATTGTAAAATGTATTCCAGAGAAAAACATTTGTGTTCCTCCAATAAAGAGTTACAATATTAGACAATTCCCTGTATTAAATACTAGCTATTCTCGTGCAACTTCATTCGCATGAAATTACGAAAACTGTTGTATTGATTACATTTGTTAAATTATTAATTACAAGTGTCAAAATGACATGACATGATGACAACCTTACTTCCTTGATGTTGGCAGCAACTTATGGTCTCTTTCCCACGTTAGGGTTTTTATCCAAAATATTTACCCCCTAAGTTTAATGGCGTGAAAATATATAGCCTAAAGCGTGACGTAAGTGTAGGGCTTTTTATTAATAAAGAATTACTCAAAAATATGCTATAATTGCTGACACCTAAGGCAACATAGAAGTTTGTGTTTACGCTTTATTATAATAGTATAGATATAGACTATTTTAAAATACAAGATCTGTTGTTTTTGTTAACCAGATTTTAAGCATGACTGATAATAGTTAAAGAAAAGTTGAAAAGAAATTCCTAAGGTATTTTTACCACCACTTAGAGACAGTATTGTTCGACTAATGTATAGAAATTTTGCATAGGCTCTTTGAAAAACCTTTTTAACGTTATACTGGGGGCAATGGACAAGAAAAGCAGTTCCCCTCCTAGAGCGATCGTTTTTTGTTACAAAAAATGACGGTTCACGGCAAGATGACGTATAATAAGAAGGGGTAAAACACAATTCTTCTCCTCTGAAGCAATCTGTTTCAATTAATTAGCACTTATTGCGGCATCCCTTCCATGCTTCGTCAAATTTGGATAGTCAAAATTGCAATATAATGTTCCAGCTTGAAGCTATGAATTAATTTTTTTTTAATATTTAAAACAGTATTTTGATCATTTTGATATGTATGTAAGTGATGTCTATACTAATATTATAAAGTGGAAACATTTGAATTTTTGTATGTATTGAAATAACCCTAAAACTACGAGGCCGATTTCAAAAATCTTACACTATTAAAGAGTTGGGTTATTAGTAAGCAACATAGGCTTGAAATACATTTTTTTTTAATTTCACGAGGACGAAATCGCGATCAACAGCTAGTCACGTATAAAACACTAATATAAAAATGTATTGTAATTCTGCCGTGCTTCTTGACAAAAGCTAAAGAAATATCTTTGTTGTATATCGTACGTGGTTATGATATAGTAATGCTAGTCGGAAGTTCTGACTCACTGTTGCTGAAATTTCTCTTCCATTACTAGTTTATTCATTAAACTTTCAAACATTTCGATTTCTCTTGAAAACTAATATCTATATTCAACATCTGCGGCGCCTCGACTAAGATTTTGTCGGCTTCAAATGGACGTAATGAAAATACCCTACTGATCCCAATGTTATTAATATTGTACAAGTTTAACGTCTTAGACTTTACAATAGAGAGGGCATTGCTCTTCTAATGTTACCTTCCATATTATTGATTAACGTAGTCTCGTCAGTTGATTAGATTTTCAATGTCTTTATTTATTAAATTATGAAAAACAATAATAAGAAAATAAGTAACTTATTTACCAATTGTCAGAAACAATTACTAGCTCCTTTTCCTAAATTTGTATTCTTTGGAAGGCAATTTACAAAGTACAAATAGCTCTCCATTAAGCGATTAGCTTTAACTCTCTAAAGGTAAATTATTTTAATGAATTCTCAAGAACTAATTTATTTAAAACAAGATATATTGTTGGTTGTACTTAAGAATAACAATCAATTTTTAAACGAGAGTACACTTTTGATAATTATCTACAAAGCATTTCAATTATATTACAATACTCGGATAAAATAATTTAGCAATAACAAAATTACGTCAAGCATCAAAAACCGACAAAATAACTTACAAAGAGATTAAATGTACAATTAGAAACATCGGTCGGCTCGCCACAATACGACAGGGAAAACAAAACGTAATCCTCTTAAGTCCAATTACTCACAGTATTCCAAATTGAACGGAAAAGCTGATAATATCCTTTTGGTTCAAGCCTTTCGGGGAGGAAAACAATTTTCTCTCTGTAGGCCCGTTTCGGTCACCATTCTCTCGTAAACGCTTCCAGCGATGAGTAAACGCTTTAGTGGGTAGTTCGACTAAGTCCCATTGTTAGTCCCATTCACGTTGTTATACTGTACTGTGCTATATACAAGCCCTTTTGTTATGTTCTTTGTTAAGTGAGCTGATGACTTTTTACAACAGTTTTGATTATTTACAGGATTCTTTATTATAAATAAGAAAAGTAAAGACAATAATGCTTTACCATACTTTGCTATAACGTATTTACCTCATACATTAGATAATGAAAAAATTATAAAATAAATCGAAATTTAGCGTCCGCCCACCTGATGTTAATGGATGTGGATGCAGCTTTGAGCGCAAAGGTAAAGCGCAGACTAAAGTAAATCTTATTACAGATATGAAGACGGTGCTCATGAAATATTCATTGCCAGCATACAGACGAATCTTAGGTACTTTGTATTATTTTAATTAGCATTTTATTAATAAATTAAGAAGCTCTTATAACTTTGGGTCAAAAATGTACATTAGTGTTGACGAAAATATTATAGTTTAAATGTTTATTCGATGGAGTCTTTTAATCGAATAAAATGTGTAACAAATGAGTCGTAAATACTTTTTCAAGGCGGCTTAATCGTCCACGTATTTGATCTCTTCCTCGGTGCTATCATATATCATACGCAATGTACCATATTATATTAGAAACATGAGCACTATCGGAAATATTGATTCGCACAATAGTTCAAAACATTTTAAAATAGGAGACGCTACGTATTCAATTCCTGCCGGATAAAATTACGAGGTATAAAATGGTCCAAGAGGATGGTGCCATAGCGTGGTTCTATGTTGCCATGACGATGCGGAAAATCAGGCAACGTCCTGTATTGTGTGGTAAAGTGCCAAAGGTTCCGGTGAGTTCCACGGAGATCCCGGGACCATCTTCTACTGCACTACTGGCCACCGAGGGGATTTTAGTGGGTACAAACCTCACATAACCCTGTTTTCCCCCAGAAGGATATCTTTTTGAAGATTACCCCTCGATAAAAAAACCGCTTAGTTTGTACTTTATGGGACTATACGAATTACGAAAATAAGGTTAGATATAAATTTCGTTTAGAATGTAAAACAGTAATGTAATCGAGCATTGATTCATTTTTTCTTATATGTTATTAAATAATTGAAAGGTCCTATAACAGTTAATAGAGAACCATATTAAGAGTATGGTCGCAACTTGTATTCCCGTCGCACTTTAATAGATATATGGGCTTGGAATTTAAACACTCATTAAGTTTAACTACTTTAATAGAAACGTGTGGCGTTGTTCAGATTGCTTGTTTACAATATTTATATATCGATTTAGAACATATTGAATGTTCTAACCAGTAACTAATAAATATCATCATCACCAGCTCACTATATGTCCCCACCGAGGGGCTCGGAGCCTACCCTAAGTTAGAATGACTAGGTCATAGTCAACCACCACACACTGCGGGTTGGTTGACTTCACACAAATCTTTGAATTTCTTCGCCTTCTGTGCAGGTTGCATCACGATGTTTTCCTTCACCGTAAGTACGTCGGGTAAATTATGTACATATGAATTTTCGAAATATCGTAAATCACATTGGTACACGGCGGGATTCGAACCCGGGACCTGTAGATTACAAGTCAAGTGCTTAAACCACTCCACCGACGCTCTTAATAAATATATCTCTATTAATAAATATACTAAATAGCGACTATTACTAGTACCATATAGTTGTTTATACATTTCTTATTTAATTAAATAGTTTTTAGATTTCATTCTGCTCTCAGTAGGTTTTACATTAAGTCTATCCGTGTAAAATCTCCCCATTTTCCAACTAATTCATTTAATGAACGAAACTACAGCATTTAGTTCTCTCGTGTAAAATTTAAAGGTAAAAGAATTTCCTACTTACTGTAAATTAGCTAGTTTCTTAGTGCGAATGTATTATGTAACGGAAAGCACTTCGATAATTAACTTGCACATTCTATTCTTGAATTGGGTTATTCTCGTTTCTAGTACACATAAAGTGCATTTACGTTTACAAAGCACACGATTATAGAGAAGAAAAGTTTCGAATCTCAGACCAAAATCACATATAATATTATAAAAAACTAGCTGTTGCTCGCGTCGTTTGTGTAGATTTAAAAATAGTAAAAGACATAGCCTATGTTATTCAGTAATAAAGTACCTTTTTAATGGTGAAAGAATTTTTGAAATCGGCTCAGCAGTTTAAGAGTTATTTCGATATAAACAAAAATACAAATCTTTCCTCTTTATAATATTAGTATAGATTTCATAGTATAATAATTTGGCGCTTTTGTAAAATTTACACATGTGTGTAATAGTTTATTTGATGCGAGTTAGAGCACGCGAAGACTTTTGACTAAACTATCGCACAACGGTTGTGCGATTGTTTCATAGCCCAATCAACTGTTTAATTACACAACTAAAAATCGAGTAGTGTGCCTCCATATACCTCCATATAAGCTCATAGGCATCAAAACGCGACTAAACAGTTGTGCGATAGTTTAGTCAAAGATGTGCGCGCGCTCTTGTGAACAAAAATGCATATGAATTTATATTACTTAGGTTTCATTCATGTTTTAAATCACTTTAAACCTATCTAGGTATATT